GGATTTACCGGCTGCCTCTCAAACTGGTTGGTGAGGGCTTCGTAGTCCTGGGGGGTGAAGGGCTGGATGGATTGCTGCTGGGCGCTCATGGTGAACAGCGGCTGCGGGGGGACGGGGCGCCGTCAGCCAGGCAGGGGACCCCGGCGTCCGGGCTGGGCACCCCAGCATGTCCCGTCCCCCATCCTCACCTCGTACCCCCCCAGCTTGAGGGTGACGGTGACGTCGATGGGGTGGTTCACAACGCCCACCACGGAGCGCACCAGCGACATGAAGAGGAGCGGGAACCAGATGATGGCCACGAGGAAGAGGATGATGAGGCCCCCCATGCCGTACTTCACGATCTTCTTCTTCTTCTGCCCCTTGGGCTGGGGGTATTTCTGGGAGGGGGGAGACAGTACATGGTGCCAGGTGGGCTCGGGGGGACCCCAAGCAACAAGGGGCTCACTGGGGGGCCCTTCCCAGCACAGCAGGGCCGTACCTTCTCTGTCTCGCGGCTGCACTTGATGATGAAGATGTTGGCATAGATGTCCTCCACGCACATCCAGTTGGAGAGGGACAGCGTGGTGTCCGTCCAGACCCAGTCCATGACGGCCCGCAGCTCCACCAGGAAGGGCACGAGGCGAAACCTGCGGGGGGGGAGATGGGGAGAGCGGGCTAGTACAGCACCCTCCGGGCACCCGGGGGTCCATGCGGCCCCGTGCCGTACCCCTGGAAGAGGAAGAGGTTGAGATGGTTGTATTTCTTGGTGAGGAAGTTGCCCAGGATACGGGTTGGGTAGCCGCAGCGGATCTGGTAGGCTGACAGCGAGAAGTAGATGCACTTCACGAAGTACCACAGCTGGGCCACCGTGTTGAGGCTGAACAACCTGTGGGAGGGAGGTGTCACCCTTCTGGCCACCTCCCCAGCCAGGCTGGGCCACCACGTGGGCTTGGGGACACAAAGGTGCCCACCCTAGGACCACGCCGTGCCCTTGGGGACATCCTCAGGGGATGCTTGGTACCTTTCGGTGACAGCCGGCAGGATGAAGAACATCCAGAGGTGGATGCTGAAGACCAGGATGACCTGGAAGATGAGCTTGCCCAGCACGGTCTTACGGAGGTAGAGCGCGCGGTCGATGACCATGGTGGTGAACTGGATGAGCAGCATGACCAGGAAGGCCTCCGGCACTTGGTCATCCGACAGCGAGGAGGTGATGTCAGCGGCCGCCGAGTGTTTCTGGGGATGCAGGAGAGGTCAGGATACGGCCCAGCCTGACCCCGTGGCGGGAGCCGGCCGGTCAGTGCCCTGCGGGAACCCCCTGCTCACCCCGAAGGCCCAGAAGCCGAAGATGATGATGATGAAGTCGACCACGTCGGCCAGGAACATGAAGGCATAGACGTCGGTAGCCGCCCGGTGCTGGGTGTGCAGGATGTCCCAGAAGAACCCGCGCACCGGCCGGTACATGTTCTGCGCCCTGGAGGGGACAGGGGACAGAGGGGACAGGTGACCGGGGGGGCTACACCCCGCATCCCCCACCCCAACCAGTGCCACGGGGCACTCACATGGTGAGGAAGAAGAGTTTGACCCGCAGCCCAAACGCCTTCAGCTTCTTCTGAGCGTGGCTCTGTTTTGCCTCTTCCTCCTCCTCCTCCTCCTCCTCTTCCTCCTCCTCCCCCCCTTCTCCTGCGAGTGAGGCACAGCATGGGTGACAGCCCGGGGTCCTGCGGGGCCACATCCTGCCTGGCCCCAGCACCCCTCCGCCCCGGGGGACGCCAGCCTTGCCCCTTGCCAGGGCGCGAGGGCCGGGAACCGGCATTCACCTTCCTCCGGAGCCGCCTCCAGCTGCTTCTTCCCCCGCCGCCTCTTCCTCCTGAAGCGGAGCTGCGTGGCCCCAGCCCCTTCTTCCTGCCCCACGGCATCACCCTCCGGCTCCGGCCCCACAGCTGTGCCCGGTGCCCCCGGCTCTGCCAGCACCTCCATCCCTTCCTCACCCACCGCCAGCGGCGGGGGCGCCCGGTTCCTCTGCTCCTCCTCCTCCTCCACCCGCTCCGCCTCCGCCTTCTTCTTGGGGAAGGGTTCCTCCTCGTGGTCCCACAGCCCGTAGGACTGGGAAGGAGCACGGTCAGGGGGACAGGGTTCCTGATGCTCCCCCACCCCACACACCTCACCCCCCCATCCCGCAGCATCGGCTCCCTGTTGCACCCCAGGGACCCGACCAGCAATGGGTGCCCTGGGTGGAAACCAAGGCAGAGCCACCAAACACCCACTGGCTGCTCTCCAGAGGCCCCATCGCCCCCAGGAGCACCTCCAGCTCCCGGGGACACCCACCCAGGCAACGCCCGCGGTGGTGCCCGTGCCCCGGGGCTCACCAGCAGCAGGGAGCGATGGAAGAAGAGCGCCAGGAGCTGGATGAGGTCGTACTTGATGTAGCGGTCGGTCTTCTCCAAGCCCAGGATGCGGGGTGGGAAGAAGGGCTTGCCCTCATTGCGCACCAGCATGGCATAGCCGTTCCAGGGGAAGAACCCAAACTGGAAGAGGTATTTCACCACCACCATCACCTGTGGGGACGTTGGGGTCAGTGGGTGGCAGCCGGAGGCTGGGTTGCATCGTCCCCTCCCCGGCCACCCCCTGCCCACCTCGGTGAAGATGATGGCTGTCATCCAGAAGCGCTTGCTGGGCCGGGGGATGGAGAGCATGGCCCAGAGGAAGACGAGGATGGGCAGGAAGAGGGAGATGACGGAGGCGGTCACCATGTTGTTGAGGATGATGATGAAGTAGCAGAGCAGCTCGGAGTGGGCGGCCACGCAGCGGTACCCGGCCAGCAGCAGCTTCAGGAACCGGTTGTGGGACCGATAAAACTGCTCCGACTCTTCCAGCTCGGGGAAGTACAGCTGCCTGTAGGGTGCAGGGGGGGTGAGCCA